ATTAGTGCACTGGCGTCAACCATTATGTCGTGATAGGAAATGTATGTATACATACATTAATACTGAATACAACTGATGTTTTTAATAATTACAAAAATCCCATTATAAAGTATGGTTAGGAGAGCCAATTTTTGTTCCAAGGACGGCAGTGTCCCTACAAACAACATTAATATCTGAAGTGCATCCAGCAGAAAGACAATTTTACTGGAAGAGCAGCTATTGAACACAGAAAATTTTTGAACATACCAAGCGGCAAGTTCAAGACTACCAGTTTCCAAAAGAGAAGGACAGAATTTAGAACCAAGCTAAATATGAATATGGAGCAAGGAATCAAAGTGATACCTCCTCTTGCATAATGTGTGCGAATGTAACTTCCCTAAGGCATACGCATAACTAATGGCCAGGGAAAAAGAAACGTTGAAGCAGATGGCTGCTGCTGCGAATGATGATCATGATGTTAATGTGAAATTTACAATTGTAAGTGATATAAATTTTACTCAGCTTTAATTTGATGGTATGAACACCTTCACACAAGTCCAGGATGCTAATGTATGAGCTAATCACTTGACTCACACACACACAATACAGTCTTCAGTGCAGCTTCACAAGTTACTGGTTGAATCACGGCATAGTTCATGCTTTCACATGTTTTAACCACACGCACTGGTGACCGGAACATGTGTTACCAAGATAGCAGCCGTGGAATACACATGTCTGCAGAATCACTCCCAGGGGTCTGGGCATCCCAGGTTAGGAATCACTACCTTATAGAACTACAAAAAAAAACTCCATTCCTTTAGTCCGCAAGCGAACTATACCGACTGAGCGACCGCTGCTTGTCAGTGAAGTTAGTGCCAACTTTAGGGGATAGAGGGTGTCGCGTGGTCAGCGCAACAAATCCCCATGGCCGTTAATTTCGGTTTTCTACACTGGACCCACTTATTTCCTTGAAATAGCTCCCCAATTATCCTCACAAGGCTGAGTGAACCCCGTTCCAGACCCACTACTTCTCAGAAAATCTGGTAGCGCCGGGAATCGAACCCAAACCTCTGGATCTGTAGCCAGGAACTCTGACAACTAGACCACAAACAAAACTCCATAAGATTTATGCACTTTATGAATTTGTACAATTTTATTCAAGGCATTTGTCTCCCAGGATAATACATACTGAAATGCTATTATACAGGTGTCCCAGGAGGAATGTGCCAGACTTCGGGAAGGTGTTCCTTATGTTAAAGTATGCCGATATAACCCAGAACACCTGTGTCCAAAGTTGAACGGTTACGGAGATAATGGCCCGAGAAAAGTGTGGTCTTCTGGCGGGTCCACGCACCGTACCTGTCAGCTGAGAAGTCGTATCTATGTTTGTCATTGAGTGTGGTGATTCACACTAGCCGTAAGCTTATGTGCTACCTTCAGGGTACGTTGCGACCGCGTTGTGAATAGATGGTAAATTAGTTGTGCGAAGTTGCTGAAATGCCTTTTGTGTTTTCACACGTGGAATATTGTGATATGCATTTTGTGTATGGATTTTGCGGTGGTAATGCACGTGCTGCTGTTGAAGAATGCCAATGGATCGACAGATTCCATCTCGAAGTGTATTTACGCGAATTCACCAGACATTGCGTGATACTGATTCTCTTCCGAGTGTTTCTGTGCACTCTGAAAGGGAGGATGTACGAATGATAAACACACGAGAGAACATTCTTGAGATGGTTCAGAGAAGTCCGCGTCTGTCCACTCATAGAATGGCCTCTCGCATCGGCATATCACATATGCAGGTGTGGCGAACTTTACATGATGAAGTGTTGTATCCTTACCATGATCAAAGGGTACAACATCTGAAACCAGGCGACCATGCTCAGCGTATGGATTTCTGCCACTGGATAAAAGCACATCCCGAACTGTTAAGCGTCATTTTATTCAGTGAGGATGCGTCTTTTACCCTGGACGGTGTTAATTTACGAAACGTGCGTACATGGTTCCATAATAATCCACATGAGATAATGGTAACGAAATTCCAAAGAGATTTTCTGTGAATGTATGGTGTGGTGTGCTTGGGAACAGGTTGTTCCGATCTTTTGTGTTTCACAAAAATTTAACTGGAAACACGTATGAAGCTTTCTGAAGAGTGAGTTGCCATGTTTTTTGGAAGACATTGCAGCTGGCGGAGGACACTTTGAACAATTAGTATAAAGCAGATACTGTATTTTAGTAGTTATGTAGTCGGCTTATACCAGAATGCGCAGTCAGCCATGTTACGTCAGCGCTTGCCATGCATGTGTCATGTATAGGGACCGGATTTTTATGCCCTAATAATTCCTTAAATATGTATGCATTTATGCAATAAAAACTTCCGAAATATGCATTAAAATATNACAAAAGCCGCTATTTGTCCACTGTTAGTGACATTTTACTTGGCAGTTCAGTACGTTTACCGGCTAAAGTTTCTTCGGTTTCACAAATTCGTTCATATCCTGGATTTTTTGAAAGAATGCTGTGTACTTTTTCCTTTACTACTTCACCGACTCTTCCAGGAACCGAATTCAATTTGGAAACAGATGTTTTGAACAAACTTAACGACTGATACAAAGTAGTATTGCTATTGCTTGCCTACAGTGAGGAAATGGCGGATGGAAGATGAGAGAAGTGAGCAGATATATAGGAAAGATTAGTTTCTAGTTCTGCGTTTTT